CTCAACTGAAGACGGTTTTAAAACATATCTTGTTTACATGATGGACCATGTAAGGTTCCATGTTAACTGGAAGGAACTAAAATGGACAATTCGGAGGAAATCAATCCCTTTCTAGAGAAATCATTCTACTAGACACCCAAAATGATTTATAGTGACTGACTAGCTTGGCTCTATTACAACTAAGGAATTCAATACCCAAACTCATCAAAGAAATATAATTTAGTGCAACCTAGCTTTGCGATGCTTGGTGTTCTCATCAGATTAAGATTTACATAGGAGTTAGGAGTAGTGAAAAAATAAAAATCAACTCAAATGCTAGGATGCTATGCTGCATAATGGTTTTCATTATAATGTTTAGCTCTCAAGTGAGCTAGAAGACATTCTGGGAGAGATATAAATCTCACCATTAAACGTTTCATAAAAAGGAGCACATTCGGTGGTCTGGAACTGAACCTGCAATATCTCTGAGGTATGCCTGTACCCTATGACCCAGCAATTGTACTCCTGGGCATTTTTCAGAGAAATGAGGGCTTATGTGAATGTTTATAACGTTCATAGCAGTTTTATTTGAAATAAACTGCCCCAAGTTGGAAACTACCCAGATGTCCTTCAATGGGTGAATGGTTAAACAAACTGTGCTCTATCTATGGAATACTACTCAGCAATAATAAGGAACAAAAGAAAAATGAAAAGATAATAACATCAGCAAAAAATAATAAGGAACAAACATGTAACAACCTGGATGCCTCTGCAAAGATTTAGACTGAGTGAAAAAAGCCAATCCCCAAAGGTTGCACACTACATGATTTCACTTGTCATTCTTGAAATGACAAAATTACAGAAATTGAGAACAGGTGAGTAATTGCCAGGGGCTAGAAGGGAACAGGGACAGGAGGAAAATGGTTGTGGCTATAAAAGGGCAATGTAAGGGGTCCTTGTGGTGATGGAAATATTCTGTATATTGACTGTATCAAGATATAAATATCCAAGGTGTGATACTATATGATAGTTTTGCAAGATGGTACCACTGCGGGAAACTGGTAAAGGATACATGTGATCTCTGTATTATTACTTATACGTGCATGTGAATCTACAATTATCTCAAAATCAAACACTTATTTTTTTTAAAAAAGGCTTAAAAAAAAAAGCAGCACATTCATTAGGGCTTCATAATAAAAACTCCTTTAAAAAAAAAAAAAGTCATAAGCTAAGGAGCTGCAGAGCATTATGCTCTATTTTCCACAAGCAAGTTGGGGGACTAAACAGTAGGCAAAGCATTACTAAAGGGGGCAGTACAGCATAGTGGCTGAGAGCTCAGACTCCAAAGGCTGCCTGTTGAAATCTCAGCTCTTAGCTGTGTGACTCTGGGCAAGTTACTCTCTCTGTGCCTAAGTTTCCTCACCTACTGGGTGGTGATTGTGTGAATGCAGTTTACCATGTAAGACTAAGACACACAGGCTGATATCAGACATACAAGAGTTAGGCTTATACAGCATTTATCCAGTCCACCTGCGTGAGGATTCAGTGGCTCTCCAAAACTAAATCAGCAAAGGTGCCTTTTGCACCGAAAAGCCAGTACTGAAAATCTGAGAAAGGCAAACTTAAGTATAAAACGTTCCACCTTCCAAACCCTCTCCCCTTGCACACAAAACAGAATATACGCAGGGCCTTCTCTCCCAGCAGCCACTGTCACTTTCCATTAAATGCTTTATGTTGTAAGCAGAACTTCAGCCCCTTGACAAGGACTAGGTCTGGATATTAAAATATTGGAATTAACTTCGCCTAAGACGTCCCAGTAACCAAATGACTCACTCACTTCTTTAGAAACAGTAAAATGTCAAGGTTGCCAGAGAACCCCAGCCCCAGATGTGTGCATAAATCATTGAGAAGTGTTCATTAACCCAAAGCCAAAGGACATTACTCAAGATAACACTTTAAGTAAAATCTATCAGTTTTTATGGTTTTTCCTGTAATGGAGAAAATTCGAAAAAATAGGATTGCTGGAGGGAAAATCACGGTAAGTTAAGCCCCAAAATTGTACAACATATTTTAAAAAGGCTTAGAACTCCTCCATTTGCTCTGGCTTCAGAGGGTTTACCCTTCCTCCCTCCCGCCCCTTTTTTTAACTGTTTTATCCAATCTCATCAACAAGCACTGGACAAACTCTAAACTATTTTCTCTATAATACTACCTAAAAGCAGAAGCTTTTAAATTTTTTGATACATCTGTTTACAACCAGATTTTTAATATCTCTCATCTGCAAAGCATTTTGAATGCTCTGTATTGATGACACCATCCACAAAGGGGTCTTTTTTTCACTTTCATAATAATTCAGGTAAAATTAGTAGTCTAATTTCATTAAACTCAAGCCTTTTGTCCTAGCGTTTCACAAGAACAAAAGACAAGAATATTCCTTGGTCATTTACACTGTCACACAAAAGAAAAACAAACAAACAAAAAAACACCAACTTGTTCACGTCCTACGTTTCTCTACCCTTGAATGAAGTAGTTGATAAATCAGCTTGTCAGGGTTTTGAGTTCTTTGGTTCATTCATTACAGGGGATACTACCCAATACCCAGTTTTACTAAAATTTCTGGATCGTACAGGTCATTGGCAAATAACTTGAAACAAATCGCACACGCGGTATATCCTCCCAAACAGAACCGATTGTCTCCGTTTGCTTATTTTTAGTAACTTGAGATAAAAGACTTAAGACGGGTCGTTTTCCCAACTCGTTTGACAATTTGACCGCTGCCTCGGGACTGAGCGCCCCATAGCTACAGGCTGGAGTATAACAAGCGCTTCCCCACTAGGCTCCCTCATCCGCTCCAAACAAACCCCATGTAATAGCTGAAGAATGACGACACTAAAATCAACCCCACAGATTCATACCTTAGAGGTCTGCAACACGGAATAAACTTTTTTTCCTCAAGCGACAGTGCAGTTTAAATAAATAAATAAATGTAACACCCAGATGGGGTTTATTTGATCCATTCCCGCGACTGGGTGCGCGCAGGGGGTAAGTGCAACTTAACCCTGTGTGGGCCTAGGGGCTCACCAACAGCTGTCAGTGGGCGCTGCGCCGGCGAGGGAGCGCCTCACGCCGCGCCGGTTCACTGGCCAGCAGGTGACCACCCCAACAAGCCCGGGTGCGAAGTGCGGAAACACGGCCACTTCCCCCTGAGCGCGATCCGGCCACCGCACGCCGCCTGGTACTTTGTTAACTCCGCGCGCCCGGGATGAGGTGGCTGCGGAGCCCAGGCTGGAGGAGGATCCAAGCCTCCTCCAGTTTGGCCTCGCCCTGCCGGAGCGCGGAGCCTCGGCGGGAGGGAGAGGTCGTGGAGCAGCGGGTAACTACGGGTCCCCACCCCTACACTCTCGGAGACCCGTGTCCCCACTTCCTCGTTCCTTACCTGGGGAAAGGAGCCCTCGCGGCGCGGGCTCTTGGGGTAGTCTAAGTGACCCCGGTCCAGCATCAGGTAGAGCGAAAAGATCACCACACAAAAGATAGCGCTGCCAAACACGGTGAACTGGCGGCTTAACTTCATTTTTCCTCGATAGACTCGGGGCCAGGGCACTGTCCTCACCCGGAGGAAGAGGCGGACTGTGGACTCCTGGAAGCGGCCGCCGGAGGCTCCCTGCTCCCGGGCTTGTGCTCTCCGCGCTCTCCGCTGCGGATGCGGGTCCGGGCGGCGCTCCGCACCTTATCTCCGGCGCCACCACGCGCCCTTGGCCTTCGCCCCGGCCCAACGCCCTCTCTGGGGCCGGGCGTCCCTCCTGAGGCGGGATTCGCCTGCAGCCCGGAAGGGGCCCGCTCAAACTAGATCTCGAGTTCAGCGCCGGCACCCGGCAGGGCGCACGGAGCAGGCGGAGGAAAGGTCGCTGTCTGGACTTCCTGCCACCGTCGCCCGACCAAGTCGGCAGGAAAAGTTTTCTCGACCAGGGCAGGCGTGTCCTCTTCACCCAGGAGGTGCGGGCTCGGCGGCTCTAGGGTCGGCGGCGCGGAACTGGGTCCGAGGAGACGTGGGGAAAGAAATCAGGTTGGGAGGAGCCGGGCCCCACAACTTAGCGCCGGGACAGCCGGGCCCGCCCCCGTGGCACCGCCCCCGCCTCCCCCGACTGAGCCCCTTCCTGCTGCCGCCGCCGCCGCTGAGGCCGGGCCGGGGTGCACCCTGGGCGCGGGGACGCACGGGTCCGGCAGGAGTTTCCTCCGAGCGCGCGTCCGCCCGCCGGCGCCTCCCGCCCCCCACCGCCCTTTTCGCTCAGCTCTCGGACCCGGGCTGCGCTCGGAGGGCGCAGGGGGCGGGCGGCGGCGGCGCGCGGAGGAGGAAAAGGAGAGCAAGAAGAGGACCTTCCCCGGAGAGAAGCCCGCTCCAGCTGCAGCCGCGAGTCCCCTCCCTCCCTCCCTCCCTCTCCGCAAATGCGGAGATGGCGGCGGCGGCGGCGGCGGAGAAACGCCGGTTCTCCAGCGCCACTCGGCGCTCCTGCACCGCCCGCCACGAGCAGGAGGAGACAGCAGCGGTGCAGTGGCCGCTGGGTCAATAAGCGCCGGCAGCCACGGAGCTGAGCAGGCGGCGGGCCCCGCCTCCTCCCGACGCTCCGGGATGAGGGGGCGGGCTCCCCGGCGCCCAATCACAACGCGCCGCTCGCAGGGCCCGCCCCGCGTCGGCCTGCCGGAGCCCCCAGCGATGCGAAGACCTCAGACTGCTTTTGTGACCTGGGAGGCGGCATTGCTGAAGTTGAGGCCCCGAGAGACCCTGGGGCACCAGCAGCCCAGTTCCGCTGCGCTTTCTCCCCACTTCCTTTTCACTGCCCAGGTTTCCTGTCCTTGAGGTCCCAGGCCTGGGGTGCCTTGGACGGAAACTCGGTGAGGAGAAGGGGGCTGCGAATTCTGTTCAGACTCATCTTTTCCTCTGCGGCTTTTGGTGACGTCTGGGTAAACCTGAGGGAAAGGAGCCTGCCGAAGGACTCTCCAGACAGGTGTAGACGTCTGGCTACAAAAATCTGTGAGGGGAGCCTGCTTGTGCCGGTTATTGATTTATTGCCTCTCAACTCCAAATTCACCCTTTTTGACTGCACTGTGAAAATGGATCTGGGCCTTTTAAAGTAAGTTTTCCTTTGCCAGCAGGGGCTGAAGCTTTGTCCGTAGAGGATGTTGAAGAGACGTTACAGGAAGAAAAGTATTTTGCTACCTGGTTTTGGTGCATTGGTAGGCAGGCTCTTGCAGCATACCTGGCTTGCTCCAGGGCCGAGCTCCTATGCTGCTCAGGGGCCAGCGGTTTCTTCCCACGTCCCCAAGTCTAGTGATTTTGTAGTAGGGGGGCTAAAGGTAGACACTACCTCGAGAATAGCTTTCTGGGCACCCTGGAGGCAAGATCTGTAGCCAGTTCCAGAGGGCCGATTTTTCACAAGGTGTGGCACCACAGTGATTTCTCTGCCATTCAGTGAGCCAGGCTGTGCCCTCTCCAGTAATTTTTGGATCTTAGCCCTGGGAAGGGCTGGGGGAGCTCTTCTTTGCTAACTCTACTCCTAGTCCAAGGGTTACTTATAAAGTTAGCTCCTTAAAGCTGCTCTTTCTATATTTTCTAGGGTTCTCTTACTAGTGAATCTCTCGTTATTCCAAAACCCTGTTACAGTTAATAATTCTTTTTATTAAACTTTATTTGTAGTCCCAAGAGATAGACCTGCAAAGATAGGATTAGGAGTTTGGTTTGATTGGGCCTTTGGGCTTGAGCTCAGTGCTGAGTTCCTTGCCAAAGTGAATTAAGACGCTAATAATTCATAGTACATGGGGCATCCCAATTAACCAGTCATCTGTGGCTGATTGTGGTGAACTACCAAGTTCCTTGGAGCCCCAAGTGGCAGCTACACAGGACAGTTATGGCTGTAAGGTAACTATAAGGACTATGGTGTGAGATGTATTCTTTTGAGTTCCTTTGAATGCTTTTTTTTTTTAAAAAGTTTTTACAGTTTTATTGAGAAATAATTGACATACACCACTGAATAAGTTTAAGGTATACAGCATGATGGTTTGCTTTACATATATTATAAAATGATTACCACAATAAGTTTAGTTCTCATCCATCATCTCATATAGATACAATAAAAAGAAAAAAAGTTTTTTCTCACAATGAGCACTTTTAGGACCTGCTCTCTTAACAATTTTCCATTATATTATACAGCAATATAAACTATCATCATCATGTTGTACATCACATCCCTAGTATTTTTTTTAATTGTAGTTTATTTTTTTATACAGCAGGTTCTTACTAGTTATCTGTTTTATACGTATTAGTGTATATATGTCAATCCCTATCTCCCAATTCATCCCACCACCACCACCACCACCACCCACACCTTGAATGCTTAAAAAGAGAAATGACAAGCACAGTTCCAAGTTATGGTATGAGAACCAGAGAGACAGACTCCATACAATTCTAAAGGAAGCTCTTATTGATTGTAGCAACAAAATGATATTACTGAAAATCAAAACACAAAATTTAAATTTTCACGTTACTGAATTACAACTTCTGTTGAATTCATGGATGTGTAAGTTTCTCATGTAAAAGTTAGGGTGCTGTAAAATAATAGGATCCCAAAACTTGGAGTGGGTTAGACCCAAATGAAACTGACAGTCTTGAACCCCCAAGTCACTCTGAGCCTCTCTTACTAGTGGAAGTAGGTTGCCCTCCAGTTTCTGAAGAGGTAGGCTTCCTCTGCTTGAAAACTCACCTGGGGCAGATGCCTTGAGAGGAAATTCACATTCTCCTCAAAACCCACAGTAATCACCCTCTACTACAGTGTACTCACAACTAGGATCAAATTTCAGCATGCTCCTGGGGTATAGATGCACACTCTGATGGAGGAAGTAGTAACTTACACACCAAAGTAACTATAAGACTTTGATAATATATAGGCAGAAACCTGGAGAACGTGTGGGAGTGGATTCTGAGGGTGTTAGACCATGGAGGATGGAATGTAATACTATACTGAGCCAAATTTATTGTTATGGTGTTTATCATATGTGTTAGCTCATGCAGCTAGAGCTTACTTGGTTGGCTGATGGAAACGTGGACTCATCAGCTGCCTAGAGTTTGTGAGGCTGAAATGCCGGAGCTTCCCTGACATGATGTGGAACAGGGAATACAAAAGTTTACGGAAATGTTACACTGGACTTATCATATGTAATCTGCATGCACATCCCCCAGCTGTGTTCCATGCAAAGGCCCAGAAGATGCTCCTTCAATGAAGAATTGAGAAATACCTTAGTGAGGGGAAGACATGCATCTTTGAAAATCTCTGTGGATGTTTCCCTCTGTAGGCCATGTATGACTATAGAGGATGCCACTATTGAGGTGCACTCACTGATAACAATGGGGATGACAGGATCCCAAAATAGCACAGACCACCAGAGGTAATGTGGGTACATCTGCCTTATGAAAGGGCAACAGGTGTGTACAGGCAATCAGAGTGCCTTGGCCCACAGAGATGCCCTAGGAAAAAAATAGATAGGCAACCTAATAGAGTACTACTTAATATTTATTAACAAGAAAAGCTCTAAATCAGGTAGCCAGTATCTGACCTGAGTCACCACAGTGGACTCTCACTCAGTTTTTAGACCTATATCAATTCACAGACCCAGAACCCCTTGATTGAAGGAGAGTCTGTGTACTCTTTAGGAATTACCTTGCACCACTGCCACAGTACACGTTGTAAATGTTCCCTCAACCTTGTCCCCCCAAAATGTGTGGCTATATACTAGAGTGGCAGTACGTTGGAGAAAAGGATATATGGAGATCTTTTGAGGTTTTCTAGACATCAGATCTGAACTGATGCTAATTCCTAGGGACTCAAAACACCACTGTGACTCTTCAACCAAAGCTGGAGTTTATCTTGGTCAGTAGATAGATGAAGTCTTAGCTCATATCCAGCTCACAGTTGGTTGGTAGGTCACTTGATCCACACACCAACTGTGTGATTATTTTCTCAGTTCTAGAACTGAGCATATCCCCATTTTGGCTTTCTTATCCATAGGATGAAGTCCATTATAATAGGAAGAGCTAAGTGGATGTGCCTAGAAATCTCACTCTCTTCCAAGATAGTAAAGCAATTAATGTTGTTACTGGGTACAGGCTCATGCTGCTCGCCGCATGACAGGCCAGTGAATCAAGAGACGGTATGTTGGGACAAGGAATAGTGACTTTACTTAGAAAGCCAGCAGACCAAGAAGATGGTGGACTGGTGTCCCAGTGAACTATCTTGCCTGGGTTTGGATGCTAGTTTCTTTTATAGAGCAAAGAGGAAGAGGTGAGGAGGTAAAGTAAAAAAAGCTGATAAGTTTTTGCAAATATTTCTGGGTTTCAGCAGACTCTGGAGGGGATGTGTTAATTTCTTCTTTCCTGCAGCCATTTACAGGTGGGCCTGGTCAGGATGTTTCCTGTGAGCTAAACAAAAGTATTTAAGCTTAAGTTCTGGCATAGGAGGCTGGGTTCCCAGAGATGGGCCCTTATGCATACTTTAAGCTATAGGCAAAATCTCTTAAGTGATTAACTTGTAGCAAAAGCAATAGAATACAAATGTTAAAGTAAAAGAAACAGATCAAATGTGGAGTCACATTTGTTCTTCCCTGTTACAATGTCATCATAAAAGACTTGAAAAAAAGCAGGGGTGCTGATACCTATCACATTCTCATTTAACTCACCAGTTTGGCCAGTGCAAAAGTGGATCTTGAAAAATGACTGTGGACTATTATAAACTTAACCAGGCAGTAATTCTAATTGTGGCCACTGTCCCCAGGTGCAGTGTTTTTACTGAAACAAATCAACACATCACCTGGCACTTGGTATAAAGCTACTGACATGGATAATGCTGTCTTCTCTATACTTACTCATAAAAACACCAGAAGCAGCTGGCTTTTACCTAACAGGGCCAACAGTATGTTACTGCATCCTGGCTCGAACTGCTTACCGCTCAACAGGCCAATAAATCAAGAGACAAGTTATTGGAGCAAGGAATAGCAACTTTATTTGGAAAGCCAGCAGACTGAGAAGATGGTGGACTAGTGTCCCAAAGAACCATCTTTCTCGTTAGAATTCAGGCTTCTTTTATACCAAAAGGGGACGGGGTGTGGTTAGTTGTTGCAAACTTCTTGGTGTCAGAATCCTTTGTTCTTACAACTGTCCAGGTAGGTCAGGTGGCAATGTTCCTGTAAACCCCCAACAAGAAATGTTATTCTCTGTTCTGCAACTTTTTATCTCTATGTGAATGGAAAAGTGTTATACCCTTAGAGATCAGAGCCTTGAGAATGGGCTATCCTGTATATTTCAGGCTATAGGCAACATTCTTAACTTGTAGCAAAAGCAATAGAATACAAAGGTTAAAGTAAAAGAAACAGATTAAATGTGGAGTCATATTTGTTCTTCCCTATTACAAGTATACCTCCACAGTATTGCCTCAGGGACACATCAGTTCTCCTCAGTATAGCCTGCAGAAATACTGATCATCTTGACATTCCACAAAACACCACACAGGTTCATCTTGGTTGTTTATAATGACAACAGTATGCTGATTGAATATGATAAGCAGGAAGCAGTAAGTATTTTATACACCTTAATAAGATTTGTTTGAACTAGAGGGCATCAGATAGTAATCAGGAGTGTGAGATGACAACTCTGAAGTGGTCCTGGCAAGGCCCACACCTCAGGGGTGGGATAAGTTCTAGGATGGTACAAGCTATACAAGGAAAAAGCCACTAAGAGAGAAATCCAAGCAAATGGTGCTGGTTAGAAATTATAGGATTGGAAAAATAGTGACGTGAGTGCTGCAGACACCAGTCATACCAATCATGTGGCTATGGAAGGAAATCAACAGTACAACTGGTGGAAAAGGAACACCCTAAACCCCAGGAAGTTAAGAGTCGGGGGAAGACTCATTAACCTCTCTTGGCTCTTACCTGTAGGACACCTGGCCTGGTATCTCAGGATGCTTTGGTATCTGAATACCGATTCTTAACTTAGATCCTAGATCCTTAGATCTTAGGACATAGATCCTTAGTCCTTAGATCTTAAATTCAGGACTGTTGACCTTTCAGATGGATGACTTCCACC